ACTAGTCAACCACCCCACCCAACAACCAACCAACCAACCCAACAACCAACCCACCAACCCACCAACCCACTAGTCAACCACCCCACCCACCCACCAACCAGTTATCGACCAACGGCGGTAACTCAGTGACTTCTTTTGCAGTTTTCAAACAAAGCTCACCAAGTTTCCTGTTAATCTTCTCTGTCATGTCAGTCAGATGTTTACGACCTTCTTCGATTAGCCTTTTCTCTTGAGTCAAAGCATCGATATTACTTTTCAATCCACTGGACATTGCACGTTGAGCAGCTTCGTGTGATGACTGGAGCTTGTGCTGCTGTTCTAGTAGCTTTCCCTGTCCAGCGGTGACCTTGTCGACTGTCTGCGTGGCMAGATCTGCAAGCTCCGTCTGCCCAGTCTATAACACACATGAAAGACATTTTATCACAGAAGGCAACCTTGAATTCAATAGACCATTTCACAGATCCCGCGGCTCAACCTCAGCCTCGTCAGCGTGTAATATATTCTTTAGAAATTGCCTACAACCTGTGAAATTTTTAAGTGTTTCAATTGTTCGTTGATGTGTAAATTCCTTTCATTACTGCGGACTGTAGTCAAATTCTAAAGAATAATTACACGCTGACGAGGCTGAGGTTGAGTAACGGGATCCGTGAAATGGCCTATTGATTCTCTGAGACAACCTCTGGAATGATCAATTGAAAGTCAGGACATGGCCTGTATTTACTGTGTTAGGTTTTTCGAAGAAGAAAAACCAGAGATCCCGTAGAAAAAACCTTGAATCAAGGGAGACCTAAAACTGTTGACTTGCTGATTTTAAAAATAAATTTTAATCAACCAAATACAAGGAACTTTTTTTGGCTTGAAGAATAGTCCCTCTTCTCATTCCGTAAATACCGCTGTGTTTTAAGACTGAAAACTCGTCTGCGCAGGCTTACCCTTGCTTAAGAGTAAATCATTTTCAAATGTCAACTGTAATGTAAAGAAGCAATTTAAACAGCACCAATGTTTTGAGAGCCCACGGACTTTTAATAGTATCTGTGAATAGCTGACTAATAAACGAGGCTAAGCCTGTGCAAATGAGTCCGTAGTCTTGAAAAACAGTGGTATGCATCGAATGTGAAACTGGTGTATTCTCTACTTTCACATCCCCATAATGCCTTGCGTCTTT